CACACACACACACACACACACACACACACACACACACACACACACACACGAGAGTATAATTATTGATTTGTCTTTGATTATTTTTGGCATGCTCGCTATTTTGTAATTACGAAATTAATTCATTTTTTGAGGACACGAATATACGTGTATCGATTTTATTTTACCATAAATGTATATAGAGTTTTTTTTTAAATTAAATAAATTATTAAATATATACTGATAAATATATTTTTCCAAACATCCCACAAATATTTCAATTTTATCATCGATAATTTCGAGGATAATTTTTATAATAAAAAATGCATTCTGAAATTTAATATAATCATAATAGTTCTGATTTTGTTATTATATGTTGTGCAATATTAGGAAAGGATTTTTCTTGTCAATTCGACTTGAACGAGAGAGAGAGAGAGAGAGAGAGAGAGAGAGAGAGATTCGGGTCAATCAATAACTTTCTTATAAACTCAAATGAGGCCCGTCCTTTGTCCTACGATTGATTCGTTTTCGTTAGTAGCCTGCTAGCCAAATAATGTCGGTTATAATGGAGTATCGATTAAAATAGCCACGTTACTCTAAGGCACGTTGAATTTTCATTAAACTTACACATCAAAGACGAATAGTGTACGATTACAAACCTCGTGGTTGTAAAAATAAAAAGGATCAAAAAAAAGGAACTTGACCCGGTTCTCTCGGCACTTTTCTGACGAAGCAGTAAATTGCAGGTCTCTTTGTATGTCAATACGACGCATACTTTAATTCGTCTTCGTTTAAATATCGTTCAAATTACACTAAATAACCCGTATACAATAACAGAGATTATTCCTTTCGTGAAAGTATTAAAAAGAAAATCGATTTTTTTGTTTCATTTTCTTTTTTTGTTGAAAAATAAGAGTATTGTTAAAAGTATAAACATACTTCGGTACTTATAGTCCTTCTAATTCTTCAAAAGTAGGCTTACCGTGAATCAATGATCCCTAACAGAGTTGCCAATCCATACCGAATATTTCACTTTGCCTTCTCGTTTGTCGATGCTCCTTAAAGTTCCTTTTCAAGCTTAGAGTTCATTATACATCGATTCTCTGGAGTCCGGGCTCTTTACATTGATCCATCAGCATAATAGTATAATAGCACGGCTGGGCGTGTATTTTAAGGATATATCATTGAGATATA